GCCTTCAGCCTGAGGCCCATGCCATGTAAAGAGCCCTGCTGGGTCAGTCAGGACCGACGGCCCTGGGGGGGGAACACCCAGATCCGCGTGGATGGGACAAGAGCATCAGGAATGATGAGGATCTTGGACATCCTATTTTGGTCTGGGATACCTACTCTACCCAATATGCAAGAGTGTAGCTTCTACCAGTACCGCCAGGAAATTTCGTTGAGACTTTGGAACGACCCATGCCTAGGTCGGTGGAACCATTGGTGACCCGTACAGGGAGAGGCGATGGTGACCGATGAGAGGCAGATGCGCATCCGTGGCTCCGCTGTGACTCTCTGTGATGCAGCCGCAGGACGATTTCTTCTCGCAGTCCGCGAAGCCCATGAAGGGGCTCCCAGTGGATGTGGGGATTATGGGGGCCAAGAGTCAGAGGAGTCGAAGAGAAAAACGCTCCAGGTCTGATTGGCAAAAATGGATCGATCATTTTCTCCAGGTTTAGGTAGGTAGGGAGAGTGGAGGATGATTCGTCATGTACTTTTTGTAGAAGTCCAGTTCGATGAGCTTGGGCCGCCAATTCGGAATGTTTGGAGTCCAATTCGGACTTGGGTCACCAGGTTGTCCGAAAAAATTTTGAAAATGGACAGAAATCGTTGAAAAAATGGTTGAACATGGTCGCCTTTTTTGAGGGCCAATGTTGATGGTGGATGAATGATCCAACGGGTTCCTACCTGGACGGATGGATCAAGGTCTCCGCGCCGGAAAAAGCTGGTGAATGGCGTACCCCGACCGACCATGGTTTAAAACGATCCTCCGCTCCAGTCCGGTCGGTTTTCACTTTTTGACATTGGAGCTTGTTCCGGAAGCTTCGCATCAGCATCGCTCCTTTTGGGGGTCTTCGGCCCAACAAGAAGAGAAGAAGAAGTATCCTAGATTCGCTGGAATCATCATGAACATCGAAAAATCGGCTGTGTGTAGAGGTCATCCAAAGCAGCCATCGTGCCATTTGCGCAACCGGCCACACAGGTGGGGCGCCAGGGGCCGAGGAGATCTCGAGGCCGGGAAGCATGACCGGAACGGATTTGGTGTCCCAGCGCAACAATGCAGATGTAAAGCTTGAGAAAGAGTATGTACTCGTACTTGTTTGTTTGGGTACGGTTTCTTCAAGAGCCTCATTGAAGTCATAACGTCGTCCGCTGGGTGGTGGGAGGGAAGTGAGTGTTCTGTTGAAGGCATCATGAGATGTTCTTCCGTTCTTCCACTATTTTGCAGTTGTAGCTTGGGATTCTTCGTCTTCGTCTCGCTTGTATGTTTAAAGTGTCTGTCGATATATCTCATGTTTGCAGCCGGAGTCAACCGGTGGTTTTGCACCCTAAAAAATCGCCCTGCTTCGCCGGACTCGGGAGACCTTTGGACCTTCTTTGGAGTCAATGGACACTTTCGGTTTGGTTTTTCATATCGGATCATATGGTTGGTGGAAAATGGTGGAAGTCATTGCGCGGTTTTTGTGGCTTGATGCCAAAGATGGACCATTTCGCTGGAGAGAAAGGTCCACTGTTGTTTCCCTCTACTAGGGGCAAGAAGCTACGTTCGGGGCTCCTGGCCTTACTACTAGCAAGGACGCTACGAACGGGGCTCCTGGCCTCGCTACGAACGGAGCATTCTTGCTACGAACGTAACAAAAAAGCTACGAACGGGGTCCTTGATGATGCCAGTCTGACTCTTGTGTCCCTCTACTTCAAAGGCCTCGGCGTGATCGGCGGCGTCTCGCCTGTCCAGGTGATCCGTCAGCTGGGCGCCAATGCTGTGCGTCCGGGGACCGACCGGCAAAGGACATCGACAGACCGGGTCTAAACTCCATGGTCGTTCAAAGAACCATGCGGGAGTTGATGGACACGTCATAGAACCATGGAGTTCCATGGTTCTTTTTGTAGTCCCATCCAGTGAGTGGAGCATTGGACTTGGGCACCCCTATCCTGCAATAAACCCGACATGGAACTGCTGGTAGTGTGTTTGTTTTTGGCTGGACATCTTTTGGGCAAAACTGGCGAACAAGAGTAGCGGAGGCATTCAGTGACAAGTGACGAGATAGAATGTTCGCAGGGTAGGAGAGAACGATCGGACCTTTGCTCCTCAAAAAATATGTGCGGAACGACCTGTTCCCTTGACCGTCTGGCCCTGCGTCATCGCAGCGCTTTGGTCTCCTCCGGACCGAGGTCTCTATGGCAACAACCCGGAGAACACGCACCGAGACTTTTTGGATGAAGCCGAGGTGCATGGTTCGCGGCGCACATCTTCTTCGGCTTTGCGGTTTTGCACGCCTCCCCCCGGTGCCAAGCTACGACGGGGTTCGAAGGGGTGGCTACGTCCAGAGGCTTCCTTTCGGGGAGGGGTTTCTTTTAGGGGTTCGGCGGCGTGGGAAGAGGTCCCACCTGTGACCACCCTGGAGGCAGCAGCCCGTCCCTGCTTCTTGCTTCTTGCCGGAACGCAGGAGCTGGGCCTTCGAGTGATTCCAGGCCCCCGGTAAGAAGTCGGATGAGGGACTGGGGGGGGAGTTCGGTTTCAGCGGCTGGAAGGAGGATGAGGATGGAATTTGGGATGGTTTCTGCTCTGGTTTGCCCAACATGTCAAGCAGGTTTTTAGATCTGAAGGACATCCCAACTTCATCTCACAGCTAAAAGCAACTAACCCACGAGATGAGGTCACACTCTTTCGTGGAGCGGGGCGGGGGCGTTTTTGCATGGTCCATCAGAAGAAGAAAGCACAGAGCGCATCTGTCCACGCATGGCGTTTGTGTATCATTTTGTCTCTGCTAAGGGCGGGCGGTGACGCAAACCAGCTGCTGAATGCGTGGTGCCCGAGGTCTGAGCGACTACGACTTCATCCAAAGCCCCGAGAACTGCCTGACCACGGACTTCAACTGCTACGCCCAGGCGGATCGGAGTCGGAGCTCGATCCGAGTCTCCGCCTTGCGGACCGTGTGGATGGGCCGCATGCCAGGTCCAAAGGTGGGTGGTTCAAAAGGCTCAGGGGCGCTGAGGTGTTCAAACGGCCACAGCTGGGAAGATGGCCACTCGCTGAAGATGCCACATCTGGGACACAGTGATGGCCACTCGCCCTTTTGGGGCCGAACGGTGTGGGTGAGCATAGATTCGACGTGTCAGCCACACATCGAATGACTCACATGGGCGTGCCACCTCAAAAACTTCTAATCATCTACCAGGGCCGAAACCAAGCCAGGTAGTTTTTGGACAGCCCCTTAACCTCTAAAGTCAGCTATTTTTTTCGACACCTCTTGGTGGAAGGTCCTGGTAACCGAAACGGTCTTGGTGCTCCGATCGATGGAACCGAGACTCGACCATCCCATCCGATCGGTCCGCACGGTCCGCATGGGTCCATCGAGCCGTTGTTTCGCGAGCTCCAAAGGATGAGGGGCGCGGAGACCTCATATGTGTATTCCAACCACCTGGAGACTTCCCAGTTCAACCACCATATAATGAGGTTGGCTGGACCCCATGACGCGACGCGTCGGGGCGCGGGATGTGGACCGATCAACTGCTATAGACGATGCTTGTCTCACCAAGTGCTTTTGGACACATCCTATAAGTACCATGAGTTTAAAACCCATAGCGAGACGGAGGATGGATTTTTCCTTTGAGTGGCTTGCTCACCTTTTCTTTATAGGTGAAAGAAAGAGGAAGGATCTTGAGATGCTAAGAACGCGGCTTCCCAGACCTCGTTTTGGTTTTTCCAGGGGCGTTCGTTCCCGCTCGCGGTCGCGTTCGTTCCCCGAAAGCTGTGGGCCTGGTACAGGTGAAGAAGTCCTATCGAGAGCTCCTTCAAAAGGGCTTTCTACGAGAAGGCGTGCACCGCCGCTGCGCCGTGCCCTCCGCGGACACCGCCGGTTAAGGAGACCTCTTAAGGCCAAGGCATGGGCCACTGGAATGAATGGTGTGTTGTAGGAAGGTTTTTGGGGGAGGTGAAGAAATGAAGTGAGGGGCAAGCCATTCCATCTCACGTTAACACTGCAGATCTTGCAGGGCGATACCATCCAGCTCTACGAGAGTTGATCGTCATCAACGAGCCCGACCTCAAGTTGCCCGGGCCACCCAGAGGGGCTTTGGGAGCCGAGACGACGCGCGTAGAGCGAGCCGATGTCCGGCGTCGTCGCAGGTCCGGAGGGCTTGGAGGGGGGGGGAGATGTCCAGGCCTCGGAAGATGATGTTCTTCGATTCCTTTCCACCTTTCCGCACCAGACATCGTCGTGGCGCAGACGTCGTTTCACGAAGTTCCATCGTCACCAGCGTCCGACCCGGCACGTGACCCGGCACGCTCCGGCACTCCGCACTTCCCGCCTCTCCGTCGTTCCAGGCCGGGCATGCATGCGCCGGTCAGCTTTTGTCGGGGCATCCTCAGCGCCGTCGACGCCATGTGCCTCGGCCGCGAGGGTGGTGCTGCTGGTGTCTCCGAAAAGGTGCGGTGACTGGGGCTCTCTTTGGGGCATGCCAAAAAACATAGAACATATATAGAACCGAACTGGATTGCTTTTCACACCACCCAAAAGATCCAAAAAGAGTCCTTTGAGTGTTTACCCGAAAGTTCAAAAGGGCTCCTGCTCCGTGGTGTTCCTCGTCTCACAAAGCTCATTGCAGGTTCCGATCAAGATACGCGCCGTTGTTCAAGGTGTTCTTCACGTTCTTCTCCCCAGAAAACAACGGTTCTTTCTGTCCAAATCCTCCAAAGTCCAAGCTCCCAAGTCCTACCAAAACCTCCCAAGTCCTTCCGAGGTTGGATGCTGAGAAGTCCATGAACCTCACCGGCCCAGGCCTTCCGAAAGCAACGAGAACTTGGACGCGCCGGTTCGAGCGCCTCCAGCGCCTTGGGTTTTGTTCCACCCCGTCCTTCCAGCCGGTTCCGAACGGGAGGATTCTTTTTTGGGGGTGCCCCCGGTCACATCACATCACATCCGCGGCTGGATGGGGACGAGCCAAAGACCAGCCCTTTCCATGTGACTTCTGAAAGTTCGAGCTGTTTGGGCGGACCAGGCCCAGAGAACCTGTTATAATGAGTCTACCGGAAGCAGGGATGCTCAGGCCCTGGGAAAAGAATCCACACCTGTTGGGCATGAGCACCAGCCAAGCACTGCTGCGTTGTGAAGAACACACACACGGGTCGTGCAGTTCCAAGAAGCTTCGAACTGAATCAAGATGTTTTTGGCTCAAGCAAAGGACTGCGCGAAGCTTTCGTTTTAGTCACTTCTGTAGCATGTTGGGAGGGTTGTACCCGGCGGAGCAGGGAACCCTGAAGCGTTTGATGGAAAAGAAGATGACCGAAGGCTATGCGAGTTTCAACGACACAGAGAAGGAATACTATGGACGCTTAATGGTAAAAGCTGAGCACTGGGAAGTGAAAGAGCTTCAAGATGAACTGAAGCAGGAGCTGAAAGAGAAGGACGAGGAGGTTCCTCCTGTTGAGATTCAGACTGAGAGTGAGGCAAAGCAGAATGCTTGCGCAGAGTGTTCAATCCTCTAAAGGTCACAGCCACCAGCTAGTTTCACACAAAATTTCTAGTCAAACAGCTGTGCTGAAGGTGTAGCTCTTTCTTGTTCAATTTCTTGTCCATGCGACAACTCGCATGCAAAGTCATGCAACAGACTGGGCGGTCTCACGGATTTCGTTGTCCTGACGGATTTCGGGGTGGACCGTCCAACACCTTGGTGGCTCAGACACTGGCCACCGAAGCAGATCTGAAAAGCATCGTCGTCCTTGCGCGCCCACGGACATCGCTCTTCCTCTCGGTCATCTCCGGTCGTCGACGTTCGTGGCATCGGGGACCTTGAAACGGAACCCGGTCCACTGAAGTCCGAGTCCGATTTTGGGACACCTCCGGTTGGACCAGGACGGCCGGTTGGGCTGGTCCGACTGGTCAAACGTCCAGAGACCTGCCCAGACGCTCGGTCTACAGCGTCCTTCCAAGAACGACCAGCAGAACGACCACCTTCCCCACCATTTCACCTTGGCCCCCGCAAACACCACCCGTGGAGAACACGCGTCGTCCTGCTTCTCCATCTAAAAACGCCCCCCCAAAGCCACTGGCGAACTGTCCGACGGCTTCGCCCCTCCGGTCCCACGGCCCCACGGCCGGGCCACGGCAGCCAGGCATCAACTTCACGGTGGCGCCCGGGGGCGAAGAAACGGGTGAAGGAACGGTCGGGTGGGGCGAGCGGTGGGGAGACAGGGCGTTTGGAAGAAGGGCCACGGCCATCCGTGTCCGGGCCAAAACACCGCTCAAGTCCTCCACTTTTCACAAACCGATCGCACAGATAATGGACCTTCTTGAGGGTGGTGGAGCTTGCAATAGTAGTAGGGAGACCTTCTAGTTCGGCGCCTCTGCGGGGTCCCAGGTTTTCCTTCGGCGTGTGCAGCACCTGCGGCAACTACACGTCCGGGACGCGGTCCCGGTGGCGCTGCCGGGTGGCGCCGCCGGGCGATGCCGGTTGCCTCGCAGGTTTGACCAAGAAGAGACGCGAAGGGACTGGTTTTCTGATGTTTTTCTGTTTTTCCAGTTGGCTTAAGGGTCCCAAAGGCGCCGAGCCGAACGAGTGCGTTGAGGGTCTTTCCTCGAACTAGGAGGAGCAATCTGGGTGCTCTCATCCAAACATCCGAGAGGTCACATCTCCTAGAGTGAAACAAGAAACAGAACTTGAGCGGTTTGGCCAAGCACCTGCTTTTCACCTCATATTCTTACAATGACAGCAGGCACGCTGTCAGAGAGAAGGCCCTTCCTCCCGTCCGGTGCAGCGCCTCAGGTCCAGCCCGGCACTGGGTCAGATGACCATGCTACGGGCCCGGGAGACACGGAGAGACCGAAGCGTTGTCGGATCTGGGTCTCGGTCTTGGTCTCCGGTCGCCGTCTTTTAAGAAAGGACCTCTGGGCTTGCTGGATGCATGGCTTCATGGTGCATGTTTCATCTGGAGAGCCATCCACATGTGGGTTTGCTTCTTATTTAAAGCATTACCTGGTCACTGAGGTGTTAGGAGGTTTTGGTTGGATTTGGCGCCTCATGAAGCTGTGGGCTCGACCTTCCCAAGACCAGCAGCTCCCTGACCCACCAGGTGTTACCTCAAGGATGGATCCTGATGGAAGCCTCCAGGAGTTTCATGACGGAGTAGTAGTAATCGTCCGAAGAGCGTGTACTAATGAGATATAATGAATGCTATTACCACGGAATAGGCCACGGATCTCCACAGTCAGAGCAAAAAAGTCCGCAAAACTTCTTCACCCAGAACGTCCTTTGTGCACAAAAAACCTTACAGGCAACGTCCTCACCTTCCCCCAACGGTTCAAGGCGGCCTTCCGAAACGCCAGCCTCGTGGGTCGGGACGCCGAGCCTGCCGCGCGGCGCACGGCGGACACCGTGGTGACCGGTGGGGAGGTGCCATCCGACGGTGGAACCCACCTGGGCGGTTCTACCAAGTGAACTGGTCAGCTCAGGTGTGTCTCCTGCTTTTGGAGTAGACGTCACGTACTGAGAGTTGTGATAGATATCTTATATTGTTCTTGTATATTATTTTCCCAACATGGTGTTGATGATGTGTCTATGGTACCAGCCACTGATGTCTGGCGGCTAGAGTCTTTTGCAGGAACTGCTCTTAAGGTAGATGGGGCACCAAAAAAGAAACAAACAGCTCCGGTCTGCGTTTGCCTCCCCCCCCCAGTTTGCCCCGTCCTAGACGTCTTCGGTCTCCGAAGTCGTGAAGGTTATGTGCCCAAGAACAACCTCACGAAGTTCTACGACGAGAGGTCTGCAGTGTCGCCGGGAACGAGAGGTCTGCCCAACAGATGGCCTCAAGTAAATGAAATAACCTTTCGTTCCGCATATTACAACCAAGAGGTTTTCGCGTAACGAAAGGTTTGCAATAGACCTTTGTTTTGTTCCGTGCAGCATAAAGTCGTCGGGAGGGCTGTGAACAGAGTAGATGATGGCAGTGCTGAGTACTGGGCAACCCAAGGGGCTCCAGGGGTTTTCGGAAGATGGTTCAAGCAAATGACTCTCAAGACACCTATCAAACACTCCCTTCAACATTTGTCGGAGGAGACTTGGAAAACTTGTCTCAACGTCTATCCAAAAGAGAAGAACGTCTATCCAAAAAAAGAGAACAGTGAGGTCCTCCCTGGTTCTTCGACGGACCTTGAGATCCCAGTTGGTTCGGTCACATGACCAGGCCTGTGAAAAGGGTCGGACCCGTCACGAACTGAGGAAGCTGGTCTATGTCAACTCCTTTGCGTTCGTCGTGACGCTTTCGATGTGGTAAATCGGTGAATCTATTTTGGTTTAGTTGCAATGTATGTCATCGCATGTTTTCCCATGAACGAATGACGCAAGGTTTTTTT